GGGGGGGAGTACCACCGGGGGCGGGGTACCTTGGTGAAACAGGTCCACGTTGCTGAAGCTGTGCAACTGAAGCAGAAGTTCGACGTGACCCACGAAGTAGCTGGCCATTTTTTCTTACAAATGCCCCTTGCACCTGCTACACCGCTCGGAGTCTTGGCTAACCAGTTGCGTCAAAAAACTGGGGTAAGCTTCGCGCCCTCGAAAATGGAATCTGGTCTTAGGCGCTATTCAGGTGCTGCAAAGAATACACCACTTACTTGCAAGAACTAGATAGAGATGCCAAAGCACTTCAGGAGAAAACTGTAAACGTCACATCCCCTAGCTGCCCTCGATGAAGTCTATACCCGTATATCTCTATGCTTTATATTACGGCACGGTGTTAGGCGAAAGGGGAGACTACAACTCAAGCCGCGAATGTCCTGAAGGAAACTGAAGGTATGCTTCCTATCGTTCGTAAGAACGCTCTCAAAATGGCAGATGGATTCCTTGATTTCTGGGAAGAAAACAGACCCAAAATTGTAAGCATGGCACCAGCGAGTGCACAATTTTGTTTGCAGGAGAGGATCTTAAATGAGACGCCTCCCGAAGACAAGGAACGTCATAAATTCATCCAAGAATGTGGGCAGGCAAGCCGCCTGTTAAACAAACTGCTGGCATCGGAAGACGGCAAAAACAGTGCTCTTGAACCAGCGGTTTTGGCCATGATTCGAGCCATCCAAATCGACGTTGAGCTGTTCTCTCAAGGCAAACAACTTAAGGCGTAACCATTGACCCGGAGGTGAATCCTTCCTCAACACCTGGTGGGAGACGTTCCTTCTCAACACATGGTGGGAGACTAAATTATAAACTCCAGCGGAGCGGTTCTTGTTTGTTATAAAAAAGAACTTTCGAAAAGGGCTTATAAAAAAGAACCCCCGGTCTTGACTGAGTAATTCTCGGTGATGAGTAGCCTCGTCCGTGCTCTTACCGTAAATTGCTCCTATCCGCAAGCTGCTTACTCAAGCATGTGTTTGCGCTTCAAGAGATGATTTACATCAGGTTCCAAAGCGCCGATCAAAAACTGCTGGATCGGGTTGTTACCAGCACCTCCGACCAAATGTAAGCATAGTACAACGCGGAGTAACCTGCTATCGTATGGCTGAAATATCCTATGTAATATCGCGGATGAATTTGATGAACGTAGAGTCCTACTTTCTTCACGGTGTTGGTTTCCCATTCGAGGAACTTGCCCGGCATCAGTACACTTGCCCGGCATCAGTACCTCAAAATCTGTTGACTCCACGAAATCCCGGGGGGACGAGGACTAGCAAATCTCAGATATTTCACATCATCCAAGCCGTGACCGAACTCATGGAGGCGGCCTCTACATTATTTTCACTCATCAAAGCTGGCGATCCTTTAGGCTTGGGCTTAGACAGACACGTTCAGCTGCAAACCAATGAATGGCTTCTGATGCAAAAGGCGACTCTGGCCATTATACAGCGTCATCCAAGCACCTCCATTCTTGTTAGTTTTGGTGTAGTAGTCCACGAGCGTAGTGGCCGGCTTCGTGGTGTCATGCTTGTCAAAAACATCGTAGGTTCCCACATCAGAATAAGCCTCCAGTCACATCATCAGTCGAAGACTGTGCGTAAAGGGGTAAATCGAATTTCGCCTTGAACGTGATACCATAGAGCTTGTTCACGGCATAGTAGAACAAACCCTCATGCATCACCTGATGGAGTTCTAAGTATGGCGGCAATTTATTCAGATCAATTCTTTGAGTACAACATCTTGTTGAT